CGAAAGTGTGGTCGGACGGATGGAGGGAGGGTGGCGTTGCGGTGGTTCGATCTGTTGAGGTCAGTGAATTTCAGCTGCCCGAGAGGGGCAAGATGAGGAGGGGGAGGAGTAGGAGGAGGAGAAGGAGAAGGTGGTGGGGGTGGCAGTGGGGGATTCCGTGAAGTGGGAGTTAGGGATAGCAGGGTAGCATGCCGACAGCATCTGGTCGATGCAGGCGTACCTTCACCTTCACCTTCACCGACGAGGCTGCGGTAGCAGTGCGGGGGAGGGGGCTGTGGGGGAGTGGGTGAGTAGCAAGCTGGGTGATAACCGTGAGGTGAGGTGCGGTGAGGGATTTGGGTTGCGGGGTTGAGAGCGGGACGTAGTGATGGAAGGGGCAGGCAAAGGCTTCGATGCGAGGTTTGTGGGACGGGTGCAGTCGGAATTTGGCGGGGCGAGCGGGGTGAAGGGGTGCGGGAGCACTCCCACGATCAATGCTGCGGCGCATCCTCCGCATCCCACACAGTCTCAGCTGCACCAGTCGCGGTATGTGGGATACCCGTCGACGCCTCACCCGTTCACTGTGAAGAGGGAGGCGTCTCCGTCTGTGTCCGAGTCGTCAATGAGATCGAGGGAGTCTTACTCGGTGGAGGCGAGCATGCAAGACGCGGTGACGTCGCCCAGCCCCGCAAGCGTTTCGGGGTCGGGGCAGGGTCGTGGGATGGGCAGTCTGGGGCCGAATTTTAGCACAGATGTGAATCAGATGCCGGACACCCCTCCGCGACGAAGAGGGCACCGGCGTGCGCAGTCGGAAAGCGCATTCCGAGTTGCGGACGATGCGTCGTTCGAGAGCGAGGGTGGGGTGCAGGGATCGGAGATTCCGACCGTTTCCGACGACGGTGCAGAGGACCTGTTTTCGATGTACATTGACATGGAGCAGATAAACAGTTTGATCGGGACATCGGAGCAAGCGGGTGCAATGAAATCGGGTGGTGAAGGGGACAATGCGCCTCCTCCGCCTGGTCATCATGCTCGGAGTTTGTCCGTGGACGGAGGGCTGGGGAACTTGACCGGCAACAGGACGGGCGTGGGTGTGGGTGTGGGTGGTGGTGGTGGTAGCGGTTCGATGGCATCGGAAGGTCGGCGGGCGCGGCACCAGCACGTTAGCTCGATGGACGGGTCGAGCTGCTTCAAACACGACCTGTTTGGCGAATTCGGAGGGGACACGAAGAAAGTGGTGGCTTCGGCGAAGCTGTCGGAGATAGCGCTGGTCGATCCGAAGCGTGCCAAGAGGTGAGAATTTGGACGAGCGGTGGTGGTGTGGATGGGGTTGTTGCATTTGGTCCGCATTGGGATGCTGTGATTGCGTGCGAGGGGGCGAACGAGCGGTGAGCGGCGCGCTGAAGTCGGGTGTGAACTTGGTGAGATGGGGGTACAGTGTGGGTGTTGAGGACCGCTGCGATTGCAGTGAGCATGTTAGCCGGGTGTGGAGTGGATTAGAGCAGAATGTGATGTCTCGTGGTCTGACATGGAGCACGTGACGACTCAGGATATTGGCGAATCGGCAATCTGCAGCCCGTTCGAAGGAGCGGAAGGTGCGATACATCTCGGAACTGGAACGCAAGGTGCAGGGCCTGCAAGCAGAAGCCAAAACGCTGTGTGCCCAACTTGCGATGCTGCAGGTGTGTATCCGGCATGATTTTGTGTTGAGTGCGTGACGTGGTGAACGCAGTGTGGGATGCGGTGATTGTGGGAACAGCAGCGGAGCGGGTTTGGATGGGGAGGCGTTGGATATGGTGAGGTAGAATGGTGGACGGAGTGTAGGTGGGTGGCGGAGCTGAAGCGTATGATGTGTACTGGTGCAGAAGGAAACAGGTGGTCTGGCGACGGAGAATGGCGAGCTGAAGTTGCGGCTGCAGGCTATGGAGCAACAAGCTCATCTACGTGATGGTGAGTTCCTGGGAGCCTGTTGGGGAGAATTGCGAGTGGGTGTTTTGAGGAATCGGGGTAGAGCAGGCTGTGAGCAGTTACGGTGGGTGAGGCAGGAGCAATTGATGGCATGCGGCATGGGTTGGAGGGGAATGATGCGATGTTGAAGTTGGTTTGCGTTTCGAGGATGGGCAGGAGTGCTCGAGGGATTGTGTTCGTTGTGGCTTGCTGTGTTTGGTTGGGTGAATCGGTGTTGTGGTGGGTTGGTTGCACCTGATGTACGTGCGTGGTATTGGTGAGAGTGTGAGGAGAAGAAGAAATAGGGGGTGAACACCCGTGTGGAGGTTTGGTTGGCGGACGCGTGTCCGTAGATGTGGATGTAGTGGGGAGACGATGATGTACGTGCGTGGGGTGGAGGGGAAGGAGCAGGGCGGGCGTGGCGAGGCTGAATGGGTGTTTGTGGGGTGCAGCGTTGAACGAAGCGTTACGAGAAGAGGTTCAGCGGCTGAAAGTAGCAACAGGTCAAGTGAGCAGCGGGAGCGGGCAGAGTTTGAGCATGGGCGGCCAGCACGTGTTTCAGATGCAGAGTCAATCGTTCAATCCGCAACAGTTGCAGCAAGCGCAACCAGCGTCGAACAATGCGGCGGCTTCGGCGGCGCAGCAGCAGCAGGGAGCGCAGCAGCAGATGCATTCGGATTACTTGCAGCGCGGGGCATACAATGTGTCGAGCGGTTTCATGAAAAGCGAAGAAGCGAGCATGGCAGTGAGTCATGCGAGCAGTGCGTCGTTTGGGTGATGGGTGCGGTGGAGAGGCACAGGCGATTTGGAGAAGAGAAGGCACCCGAAGAAGGCAGCCGGAGGCTGCGATTCTTGGTGGTTGCAGGACGCAGTGTCCGGGACAAACCTGAGAGGGTCGGGCGTGGAAGTCCTCGTCCGAGTGATTCACACCGAAGTAGCTTGATGCTGCGGTGACCAAGCTTTCGAAGCAGGTTCGGTGGGGTGGGTTTGGCTGTGGAAGAGGGAGGGGTCGGGATGCGGAGATGACATGCGCAGCGAGGTGAACGTGAGGGAGGTGGAGGTGGAGGTGAAGGCGGGGGGTAGGACGCGACGCGGACGTGTGGTGATGTTGGTGGGACGGGACGGGAGCAGTGAAAGCGCGGTGGGGTGCAGAGAGGTGTGCTGGTGCAGTGTGGGGACGATGGGCGTGTGACAGACACATGATGACATGCCTGTGCCGACTATGCACTATGTTAGATTTCAACATAGAGTTGGTAACCTTTGGAGTAGATAAATTTCACTTGTATATTATGTCATGTAATCATGGATCATATAGAAGTCGTAACACTTATTAAATATACATCTAATATGTTCATGTTCAAAATTTAGTTGTACCAATAGGCCAGGTACTTTAGACTAAGTTCATTGTGTTGGTGAACACTTTCATTTGACCAAGGTTTTTTTACAATCTAAAATGTGTTCTTAATTTTAACACAAATATGTAAAATAAAGTTTAAGTATTGTGAATACGTAATAAAGTAAGAATTAAGAGAAAATTGACAATCAGAATGTTTTTGATTTTAATTTACTGTCAAGGATACGGAAGTTGCAAAACCCGACATTTAATTTTAATGTAATGATTGTTTTAAAAGAAAACTGTAAAATGATAGAACAACAAAATATTCAACGTCCTTGCACCACCTTCACCACCATCGCGTCCACGCAGAGGCGCGAAAGCACCACCGCTACCCCTCTTTCCATGTCCATCCACGCCGTAACCTCACGTCACGGCTTCTCTTCCTCACTTCGGATGGACCTTCCTTGCTTCCATGACACTCACTCACACACAGCCCCCGACTCGTCTCTCTCAACCCCACACCTACTACCCCCTCCCTCCCCCTCTCCACCACC